CAACCCCTCCAGAAGCTCCCATCTAACATCCTAGACATGCTGGGAGACAGGGGGTGGTCTTGAGTCCAGGCTTGATGAGGAGGAAATTCTTACCATCTCTGGATGACTGAGAGCCAGAGGAGAACTGGGAGGTGGAGAAGCTGTGAAGACAGAAAAGGGGCAAAATGATCAGACACACAGGGGGCAGTGAGTGAACAGGGCGGAGCGGGACTGAGAGGGGGCCCCTACTCACTGGGCATCCTCGCCCTCCAGCAGGCGGCGGTAGGTGGCGATCTCCTGCTCCAGCCGCGTCTTCACGTCCAGCAGGATCTTGTACTCCTGGCTCTGCTGCTCCATCTCGCAGCGCAGCTGGGCCAGCTGCTCCTCCACGTTGCAGATGAGCCCCTGGATCTGGGACAGCTGCAGGCAGTAGCGGTTTTTGGTTTCCTCCAGGCTGTTCTCCAGGGATGATTTCTGTGAGGGAAGGAAAGAAGATCAGGAATCCATGAGGGTGGTCATTCTCTCCCTCCAGGACCCTGGGCACGCCGCCCCCCAGGCCTGGCAGCGCCCCTACCATGCTGAGATGGGACTGCAGCTCGATCTCCAGGTTCTGCATGGTGCGCCGGAGCTCTGAGATCTCGCTCTTGCTGCTCTGCACCATCTCGCTGCTGCTGGCCACCTCGCGGTTCAGTTCCTCTGTCTGCAGAAAAGAAAACATCGTTGGCACTGGAAGTTCCACGGAGGCAGGCGTCCTGGGTCCCTTCCACTCCGAATGCCACCCACCTTGCTGAAGAACCAGTCCTCGGCGTCCTTGCGGTTCTTCTCCGCCATCTTCTCGTACTGTTCGCGCATCTCGTTCAGGACGCGGCTCAGGTCCACGCCGGGGACGGCATCCATCTCCACGTTGATATCCCCGCCCACCTGGCCTCGCAGGTTAGCCATTTCCTGCACAACCAAAGAACGGTCCACAGTCAGGGGCCTCACTATGGCAACCGATTAGGGCTCCCTAGTCAGAGGTGTTCCAGGTCTGAACATTCCTCTCCACCATCTCTTCCCTCCCAGCTAACCCTCTAAGCTGGCTTTTCCATTTGGTTCTCACCTCCTCGTGGTTCTTCCGGAGGTAGGCCAGCTCCTCCTTCAGGCTCTCGATCTGCATCTCCAGGTCAGCTCTGGCCAGGGTCAGCTCATCCAGCACCCTGCGGAGGCCGTTGATGTCGGCCTCCACACTCAAGCGCAAGTTCAGCTCCGTCTCGTACCTGGAATGACCCAGGGAAAAAGGAATGAGACACCCTCCCTGGCCACACTGAAGGCTCTGTTCTCTTCCCCCTGCAGCTTCTGCCCATAGTCGGCATCCTGTGGGCGGTTTAGTGAGCCAGTCTTGAAGATGGCACGGATGGACACAGAGCCCATTATTCCTCAGATCTGAAATTCTGGGGAGGGGGACAGTGCCAAGAATAAGACAGCTGATCGTGCTATAGAATTCACGGAGGGGCGATGCTTCTGGCTTCAGCCAGCCAGTAGCACACAAGGCCTCCAGATAGGACTACCTCCTGTACTTCAGGGGCAGGCGGGGAAGTGGGGACTGCCCCTCCCTAAAGCAGTGGCCCCCTAATCTGGCTGTGGGTCAGGATCACCCAGGTAGCCTATTAAAAATAACTGAATGAAAAAATAATAATAATAACTGAATCCAAACCCCAAAGGTGGGGCCCAAGAGTCTCATATTTTTACAAACACCCTAAGGGGTTTTCAACACAGCCATTGTGGCACATTCCAGCTCTGTTCAGGGAACACTTCTCCAAAAATGCCCAACCCAGGGGAGACGGGATGCTCTGAAACACCACTGCAAACTCACTTGGTGCGGAAGTCATCAGCGGCCAGGCGGGCATTGTCAATCTGCAGCACGATATTAGCATTGTCCACAGTGGCTGCAAGGATCTGCAGGTGGAAAGGGCACAGGTCGTTGGTCCAGCGGACAGCACTAGCCAGACCTGACTGCAGCCTGCATCAGGACTTTGCTTTCATGCTTCTGCCTGAGTCCCTGCTACTCCCCACAAGCCTTTGCCACGGCAGCCTAAAGGGTAACTCACAGTGGTCCAGATTTGACCCAGGACTTGGCTACTCGTGGTCAGCAGAATGGGTAGAAAGAGCCCTGACCTTAGATAAAAAGCCCTTGAGTTCTGATCCTGTATCTACCACTGAGTTGCTGCAAAGCCTGAGATGAGTCTCAGGCCCTCGAGTGCCCGACCCACAGAGGAGGGGAGTGACCGGACTCTCCAGACCCCCTTCCGGATCTGAGTTCTGCTCTCACTGCACAAGTCAGCCCTGCCAGTCCTCTGTAGGCACGTACACTCCTTTTCAAGTCTTCAGAGCACAGGACCTCAAAGTGGGGCTTTCCCAAAAGTTGAGATCCAGCTGGCACAGGGGATTCGACAAGAAGAAGCAAAAGGAAAGCAAACAAAGGTAGAACCCTGGACTGGCTAGAGTTCCCTCCCTCATCATCTGATTTCCCTAATCCACTCAAAGCATCAGAGCCAGACACCAAGGGAAGCAGGGTCCGCAGGTTCCTGAGGTGACATGGGAGCAAGGAACGGGGGCTGGAGTCAGATAACACAAGCCCCCCAGGCCCTCTCCTACGCAGGGCACGTAAAGTGGGCCACCGGTGACTGTCTCTGTGGGTTTTCCATGCCCTCCTGGCTGTGGGGAGGGGCCACCCGTGCCAGGGCGCACGGGCAGCAGCCGCCACAGCCCAGACTAATGAGCTAATGAGTGACTTGGATGTGTAGCCTGGAGCAGTTAGAGCCTCGCTCCTCCCCTGTGCTGGAGAACGGGTTGCTGCCTCCTGTACTGGCAGGTGGGGCACTAGGGCTTTAGGCTTGGCTCGGCCATTAATTTGCTGTGTGACCTTGGGCAGACAGCCCAAAGCTTCAGCTTCTTCCTCTGTAAAATGTAAGGGTAGGAATCCCTGGTCTCTTGTGGTCTGAGAATCTGGAGCTCAGAGAGGCATGAACAAGATAGGGGAAGGGAGACCATCTTCTCATAGACCAGCTCTGTTGGAGGCATCTAGAGCCAAAAGAAGGGATCTGGAGCTGGAAGCTCTTCTGCCTAAGAATCCCAAGTAACCAGTGGCCTGAAGCAGCCATTGCTCCTAAATGAGCTGGCCGGAGCGGCACCTCCCGCTGCCTGGTCCACGCACCTTGTTCCTCAGGTCCTCGATGGTCCTGAAGTAGGCGCTGTAGTCCCTGATCTCAGTGGGCCGTTGCTTCTGGTACCAGTCGCGGATCTTCACCTCCAGGTCAGTGTTGGCCTCCTCCAGGGCGCGTACCTTGTCCAGGTAGGAGGCCAGGCGGTCGTTGAGGTTCTGCATGGTCACCTTCTCACTGGCCACCAGGAGCCCATCACCACCGCCAAAGCCGCCACACACGCCACCACCTGAGCCACCACCGAAGCCACCACCGTAGCCGCCACCAGCCCCACCGCCGTATCCTCCACCGAAGCCGCTACCCACGACCCCACCGAAGCTGCTGCTGCTGCTGTAGTTGCCACCATAGCCGCCCCCCACCCCGCAGACACCCCCGGAGGAGTAGCGGGAGGAGGACAGGCCCTCGTAGCTGCTGGGGGCCCGGAAGGAGCCTCCGGCCCTGGCGGAAGGCCCGCAGCTGGAGCCGCCGCTGATGACAAAGGAGCCCTTCATAGAGCTGGAAGATGTGCCCTGGCGGCTGGTCATGGTGTCAAGGAGGGAAGTGAGCGAGCGAGTGAGTCGGCAGAGAGAAGAGAAAGGTGCTTGGGTGAGTTAGGAAGGGATGCAAGGCTTTATACTCCTGGGTGAGGGCGGGCCTGGCATTTTCCATTCCCCTTGGCTTTCATCACCCAGGGGACAGTGCCAACTCCCAGTCAGATCCCTCCTCTCCTCCGCCCCATCATGTCTGTCATATTTTACTGGAAACTCATTGTTCGGGGTGTTTCGGGTTTCTTGTCCCACCAGGTGTGAGTCACAGGAGGAGGTATGGGCCCACAGGCTACACTTTCCCTTTGGGCCCTGGGAGCACAGCCCTCTGCATGCTGGACTCAGCCAGGTGGTGGGAGAGGGTCTCTGCACCGTAAACCTAGTGACTTGTTAGTCCCCATTAACTAGGTGGGTCTCTGACATCCACCTAGAGGAAGCCCAGCACTCCATGTTCCAGGAGGAACACCAGCATGGCAAGGTCACACGGGGCACAGAGATGCCCCCTCAGCGTTACCACCCATAAAAAGAAACAAGGTTTTGGGGCCCTCCCAACTCTGACCTGCTGGACTGTGCCATGGGGCCTGTCACATCCCCGAAACATGCCCAGCCAGTAGTCAGGTGGCTCAGGCTTCTCTCCCGACACCCCCAGTAAAGGGAAATCCAGGCGGCTCTCCCCAGCCCTAGGCACAGACCCTAAGATCCTCCACACATCTGTGGTTGGGCCCATGGCATTGGCTGCTCAGTCTGGCCAAAGGCAGGTGGTGTCACAGGAGACACTGGGAAAGTGCATGGAGTCAGACTGAGTCCTGACTCTGCTATTTAGTCCTGTGTGACCCAGGCCCTGACCCTCCTTGGAGTCTCAGTTTGCTCATCTGTAAAGTGGGAGTACTGCAGAGTCAGCACTGAGAATTCAACGTGGCAATGGATGTGAAAGCGTTTTGTATGCTGAGTGTGGCACAAAGTCTGGGTAGCACTATTGTAGCCCAGTCTGGGCCCCAGAGGGGGGTGAAGCAACACTACTGGAACAGGACTGGAGGGGGCCTTTTTGCTTCCAGCCCCAGGTGTTTTCTCAGGCCCCCAGGGCAGCCCCTCGTGGGAGGGTCTGGCTCGGGTACACTTGTTTGAGCCCCTTGTGGAGCTGACTCAAGGAATGTTTGGGGTTTGTTTGTTTGTTTTTGGTGACGGGAGGAGTGCAGGCACCTGAAAGTGAACTCAAGGGTCCCAGACTACTGAGGGCCCGAGGGTCAGGGGACATGTCCAGGGGTCCATCCAGTTCTGCCTCGGAGGTTTGTATATGGGGCCCTCAGCTATGCCAGGTCTCCCAGACAACCTCCAAAGGCACCCCCTTCAGGCTCACCCCGCCCTCCTGCCGCCCCTCAGCCCCACGGACCCCGGCAGGCATGTTGGGAGGAATGTGGTCATGTCTGGGGCTGCCTGACGCGTCCCATCTCCCCAGACAGGTCCTAACAGCTCCTGCTGGAGGTTCCAACACTCCTCCTAGGATCAATGGCTCCCTGCAGGGAAGCGATGCCTCCCTCTCCCCCCACCCTAACCCAAAGCAGAGGTCAGGGAGCTGCCCTCCCCGCCCCCTGCCACTGGGGCTCAGAAGACAATGCTGAGACAGACACTCGAGGCTGTGGGCTCCACAAAACTGCCATGCTGAGGACGCTCAAGTACGTGAGTATGTGAGTAAGCGAGTGACCACGCCTGACAGGGACCCGTAATCTCCTTCCAGAGGAGATTCCCGCAGCCCCGGCCCAGCCCTACATCTTCCTCAGTGAGAGGCAGCAGGGATTTGGGCTGAAGGAGAAAGCCTTTGTTAGGAGATGTTGCAGTCAGCTGTGGGGTGGAGCACGGGTGGGGTGCTCTCCAGAGAAGAATGCAGCGTCCAGAGGGAGCCGGGGGGACACCAGTGGGTGCAGAGCCCAACACCCACTTCCTCTGTGCCACCTACCACCCTCTCTCCACCACAGGGAACCACGGATAGACTCCCTGGAGCACGGGACACAGGAAAAGCTCTTCTTCCCTCTCACTTGATTCAGTGGAACCCAAAAGAGCCTCCCTCCTTGCCCCTGTCCAAGGGGAATCCAAAAGACAAGCAGGGTAGGGAACCCATGACATATAAATTCACGCACACCATCTAGGAAGAGACCTTTGCCAGCCCCCTCCCTACCTCCATGGACCCTGGAATCCCAGCATGGGAATCAAGTCTGATCTCCTCCCTCACCCAGGACTAGACCCTGGCTCAGATCCTAAGGCCAGTCCCCTTCCCCCTGCACACAGGGATCTAGATGCAAATAGCCCAGCCCGGTGTTCCTGACATTTTGAAGAGAGGCAGCTTTCGGGGGCAGCTGTGGCTAATGTGATGGGAGGTTGTCTGTTGGAGCTGGAGTACCCCCCCCAACCTCTGGGGTCCCAGGCAGGCTTTGTGTGGCATGTCAGGAGCCTGGGGCAGTGCGTCTCGTGGTTGGTGAGTCTCCCGGCACCAGCCTGTGGTAGGGCGGACCAGTGCCAATCCAAACTGGTGAAGGGGCAGGGCGAGGCAGCCCCCACAGAGCTCACACTGTGTGCTGAGGACCACACAGGGGATGGGATCCTAAGGAAGGAGGGGACCTAGGGACAGCCCAGTCTGAGGAGGGAGGCACAGGCCCTACTCTCAGAGCCCGGTCTAATGGAAGAGACTGTCTCTTTGGAAGCCCCCAGCCTGAAAGGAAAGAGAGGCTACCCATCGGAATTACTGAAGATATGAACGAACATAAGAAAAGTGCAATTCGTGTGTATTCATTTCCTGAGGCTGCAGAAGTAAATTATCACAAACCTGGTGGTTAAAAACAACTGAAAATCTCTCACCGTTCTGGAGGCGTGAAGTCTAAAATTAAGGTGCCGCACTCCCTACGGATGTGCTGGGAGAGAATCCTTCCTTGCCTCTGCCAACTTCTGGCGGCTCCATGCATTCCTTGGTTTGGGGCAACAAAACCCCAATCTCTGCCTCTGTCTTCACGTGGACAGCACGTGTGTCTCTGTGTCTCCATGTGTCCTTTTCTATCTAAGGACACTCATTGGATTTAGCGCCCACCCTAATCCAGTACGATCTTCTCTCAATTCTTACATCTGCAAAGACCCTATTTCCTCACATTCTGAGGTTCCAGGTGCACGTGAATTTGAGCGGGACACTATTCAACCCACCACACCATGTAACAAACCCGGAATTATCCGTGTTGCAGAGGCAGTGGTGAAAATTTGTTGGAGGGATGGTTGTGATAAGATGTTGGCAGGGCCAGTCCGGAAGGCTTCTGGGAGCAGCTCTAACTCAACATGTAAAGGTGCCAGGGAGGGAGCAGCAGGGAAGCACGGAATTCTCAGGTCTCTGATCCACACTCCCTGTCACCCAGTTTCTCTGACTCCTTCACAAATAGACAATGGCTCGGGGAGAGAGCTCTTTTTTTTTTAACTTTTTATTTTGAAATAATTTTAAACTTTCAGAAAAAGTTGCAAAATTTGTACAGAGTCTGTGTGTACCCTTCACCCAGCTTCCCCTAATATGAACAGATCACATAAACATTATACAACGATCAAAACCGACACATTAACACTGACCCAATACTGTTAATTAACGACAGACTTGAATTTCACCAGTTTTTCCACCAATGATCCTTTTTTGTTGCAGGATCCAATCCAGGATTCCACTCACTTGTTGTCATGTCTCCTGCAGTCTGTGACAGTCCCTCGTCGTCGTTCCTTGTCTTTTAAGACCTTGACGCTTTTGAAGCGTACTGGTCGGTTATTTTGAAAATATCCCTCGGTTTGGGTTTTTCTGATATTTTCTCAACATCAGATTGAGGTGATGCATTTTGGCAAGAAAAGCACAGAAGTGTCGTTGTGGTCTTCTCAGTGCATCATCTCAAGCGTCCGTGTGTTGACGTGTCTTAGGGCTGGTGACATTAACCTTGTTCATTGGCTAAGGTGGGGTTTACTAGGTTTCTCCACTGTGATATTATTTTTCTTGCTGAAACTAATAAATACTTTGAGGAAGATACTTTGAGACTATGCAACTTATCCTGTTTCTCTTTAAACTTGCACCCACTGGTTTTTGCATCCATCAGTGGAGGGAAGGAGCTCTTGATGCCCACTGGCTCTAGAGCCTCATTTATCCATACTTGAGGGACTGTGGCTTTTAGGAGAGATTGGGGGAGTGGTCCAGGCCCAAGAAAGAACTCTTTCTTCCTCTCTTGTCCAGCCCCAAAGCCGGTCTGGGCCCCCTCAAACCATCTCTGTGCCCTAAGGTATTCCCAGGCCTCTTCCCTTAAGAGATACCAAGTGTTTCTCTAATCACTGATGTCTAGAGTCTTTTCTTAGCCCCCCACCAGCCATGGGGGAAAGGAAGGACAGTCAAGGTCCTCCCCATGTCACAGGTAGGAAGTCTGAGGTCCAGAAAGGTTCACAGTCAAGTAAGCAGTTGGAGCCCTCCTTGCGATTCTCAGACCACCTTCCCCTCCAGGGTCTGCCCAGGGCTGGGCTTCTCATCTCCTCCTGACAGAGTTCTGTGTTCCCTGCCCTTCCTTCCTCATCTCTCCACACTCTCCCCTGCCCAGGCCCCTTCACTTTTTCCATCCCTCTCCCCAGGTCCCAGCCACCTCTGTACAGCAAGGGTTAAGTCTCCTAGAGCTGAGGGCTGTCACTTCTAAGAATGACAATCTGGGACCTGAACTGACCTTGACCTGAGTGTCTGTCGCCAGAAATGCAGGGCTAGCATGGGGGCCAGGAGCAGGCTGGCAGGTAGGATTGCAGGCCCAGGAGGCAATCAGGAGCCTGGAACACCCAGGTGCCCTGTCCCATAGAAAGCTCTACCACCCGCTGGTTTCCCAGGTCAGACTTCCCATCTGGGCCAAGCATCCTGTGAGAACCTGCGCTGACCCAACGGATAGGCTGATTCAAGTGTTTCTGGATAGACTGATTCAAGTGTTTCCGTGTCCATGGGCCTGTCTGAGCCTGCCAGCTGCTAGAGCTGACTGAACAGAGACTGACCATCCCACGTTTTAGATGCAGACGTTTCAGAGGTTGAGGAAATTCTCAAGTGTCCACAGCAAGGAAGCTTCTCAGCCAGGATTCAATCCCAGCTCGCCTGTAAGCCTCACTTTTCAATGACAGGTCCCCTCCTGCCAGAGGGTCCCCAAAAGTCTGAGCCAGAAAGGGCTTCAGGGGTCATTGAGACAAGTCTCTTAACTTTACAGATGGGGAAACCGAGGTCCAGAGAGGGGAAAGGTCATGTTCAAAGTCACACAACAGAACCTGCTTTGAAAGTGCCAAGTGTTTAACGATTGTTAGCCAGCAATCTGAGCTAGGCAGGGTGAGAATGTGTAGGGTGAAAAGAGCTGTGCCTGAACCCCAGAATCACGTTCGGGTTGTTAAGAACATTAACGGTTAGGTAACCAAAGGCCAGCAACAGATGGCTTCACTAACCCTCTATTAGCTCCCTGTTCAAGAAAAATAAGACTTAAGTTCTCCAGCCAATAACCCGTGATGCCCAGTGCAAACTGAGCTCCACCGCAGCAGCCCAGTTCTCTCACTACCCCTACATCCCCACTCATCTCCCAGCCTCTGCCCGAATTTCCTCTTCTGTCTTCTCTTTCTGCCCAACTCTCACACTCTTTGAGGCCAAGCCTCAGTTCAACAGACAGATTTAAGATATGATTTCTGTAGACTGTGTGGCATAAAGTAGATGCTCAGTGAAAGACAGACAGAAGAGAAAGAGAGAGGGGCAAGGAAGGGAGGAAGGGAGGAAAGGGAAGATGGTAAGGAAATGTGGAAGGATGGATGGATGGATGGATGGATGGATGGACGGATGGATTGGCAGGTGAGTGGGCAGATGGATGGATGGATGGAAGGATAATGGATGGATAAATAGAAAAATGGAAGGTGGATGGGTGGTGGGTGGGTTGATGGGTGGGCTGGGGGGTGAAGGATGGATGGAACACAGAGAAAGGGAAGTCATCCCACCCATCCCAAGGCGGGCAAGCATCCTAGAGGAGTTCTTAACTTAGCTGAACCTTGACGATGAATAGATGCTAAGCAAGCTAAGGAAGTGAGGAAGGACATCCCATTTGCTCGGGGAAGCACCTGAGCAAAGACACATAGGCGTGAGACATGGGTCTGCTGGAGAATGCAAGCACTTAAGCATTGCTGGAGCACACTGCTGAAGGCTGGATCTGCCTGATGGAACTGAGAGCAGAGGCTGGGGGACAAAGGCCGTGCTAAGGAGCTCAGACTTTATCCTGACAACTCTGGGGGCACTGAAGGGTCCTAAGAAGGGCAATGACACTGTCAGGTGTGTTTACAAGGGCTACTCTGGCGTCCGTGTGGAACACACTTTGGGAGAGGGGGAGCAAAGGGCAAAGGGGGGAAGGAAGATGCCGCTTGCCCTTATCCAGATGAGGGACGGGTTTGGCGGACTTCTCTCCCAGGAAGTCCCACCCCCTCACCTCAGATCACCTGGATTTCCCCTTTTTCAGCGCTCCCAGTACTTCTATGATCTGTGCACCCCCCCATTATAGTTTACTACAGTGCCTTCGGGGGCCAGCCACAAAGTGTCTCTCTCATGTAGTAGGTGTTCAGTGTGTTAATTTACTGTAATTACTCTGGTCTGACACGGGAGATACAGCCCTTATGCTTGGGGACATCCAGACTAAAGCGAGAGGGCAAATGAGCCTAGAGCCTTCTCTGCTCCGTAGGCTGAGGGGAGCCCAGAACTGAGGAGCCGCCCGGGAGTTGGGTAGCACATGGAAGCCTTCTTGGAAAGGTTTGACTCAGGTTTGAAAGAAGGAAGATCCCTGCATGGGTGGAGTGGGAGGCAGCATTCCCAGACAGGGGCGTGGCTGTGAGAACACCAGCGCCAGCAACCTCAGCACCCGGGAATCACAAGAGCTGTGTCAGGAGCCTTGAGCAACAGGCCCTGGGAGAGAGTACGGGAGACCCCGCAAGAACGGCAAGGCTTTCCAGCCTGAAGGGTAGAAAGAAAGGAGCGGTTTCCACCAGTCAGAGGTGGGGGACCAGGTTCAAGGCCGTGCAGCTCACCCCTTCCCCCAGGCTGAGACACGGAGGAGTCACACTTGGGGTTCCAGCCTGGGATCCCCCACTGACCGGCTGTGTGATTTTGGACAAGTCACTGCAGCCCTCTGAGCCTGTTTCCTATCAAATGGGCAAAATAATAGTTCCTCCCTCGCAGGATTATTGAGAGGAGCAGATAATTCATGGCTAGTAGCCAGCATGGGCTTGGCACAGAAGAAATTTTTAGCTAAAAACTTTCTTTAAATGAAGCCCTAGAGGTCAAGGGCGGGCAGGGGGGGAGCACAAATGGAAAACAGGTAGCAAAATTCAGGCAAAGAACAGAGAGGAGTCCAGGAGAGCGCTGGGGCATCAGAGTGACAGGAGGAGGGAGGCCTCCAGAGAGCTGCTGAGGCCAGCAGGCCACGGTGATGATGAGTGTGCGAGGGCCTGGCCGGGGCGGAGTCTCTGGGAACTGGTAGATGCGGAAGCCCTGCCAGGGAAGAGTCAGCAGGACGGCTTGGGTGTGAGGGGAAAAGGCAGGGACCCACATTCTGAGGTTGGAGGTCCAGCACCGTGCCCCCGCACCACCACCCCCCGGGAGTGAGGGAGGCGGGGAAGCAGCAGCTCAGGGATTCCAGTGAGGCCCCGAGACCAGGGAAGTCCCACCAGTCACTCGCCATTAGCTGGTTCTCCAAGCAGCCCTGGCAACATCTGTCCTCAGACACATACACATGCCCATTTCTGTGTCACTCACTTCCAAAAGAGGGGACTGCGCAGCTTATGAGAAAAGACACATGTACAGCACAGCAAAAGAAACCATAAACAAAACAAGAAGACACAGGCTGGGAGAAAACATTTGCAAACGATGCAGCTGACAAGGAGTTAATTCCCCAAATATACAGGTAGTTCATACAGCTCAATATCAAAAACCAAACAACCCCATCAAAAAATGGGCGCCATCGGGCTGCCCTGGTGGCGCAGGGGCTGAGAGTCCGCCTGCCGATGCAGGGGGCGCGGGTTCGCGCCCCGGTCCGGGAAGATCCCACATGCCGCGGAGCGGCTGGGCCTGCGCGTCCGGAGCCTGTGCTCCGCAACGGGAGAGGCCACAACAGTGAGAGGCCCGCATAGTGGAAGCCAAGACAAAAAAAGACATGAATGGGCATCATCAAAAAGGCTACGAATAATTAATGCTGGAGAGGGTGTGGAAGGGAACCCTCCTACACTGTTGGTGGGAATGAAAATTGGTGCAGCCACTATGGAAAACAGTATGGAGGTTCCTTAAAAAACTAAAACTAGAACTACCATACGACCCAGCCATCCCACTCCCGGGCATATATCTGGAAAAAATGAAAGCTCTATTTTGAAAGGATACATGCACCCCAATGTTCATAGCAGCAGTATTTACAATAGCCAAGACATAGCAACCATCAGCAGATGAATGGACAAAGAAGATGTGGTATACATACAATGGAATGTTACTCAGCCATAAAAAGAATGAAGTAATGCCACTTGCAGCAACATAGATGGACCTAGAGATTATCATACTAAGTGAAGTAAGTCAGGCAGAGAAAGACAAATACTATATGATATCATTTATATGTGGGAATCTAAAATATGATACAAATGAACTTATGTACAAAACAGAAACAGACTCACAGACATAGAAAACAAACTTATGGTTACCAAAGGGAAAAGAGGAGGGGGAGGGATAAATTAGGAGTATGAGATTAACAGATATACACTACTATATATAAAATAGATAAGCAACAAGGATTTACCGTACAGCACAGGGAACTATAGTCAATATCTTGTAATATCCTATAATGGAAAAGAAGCTGAAAAGAATATATGTGTGTATATATATATATATATACATGTATAACTGAATTTACTTTGCTGTATACCTAAATATTGTAAGTCAACTCTAGTTCAATTTTAAAAAAGAAAAAAATTTATAACATAAAACTTACCTCATGTATAATAAAACTAAAAGTATCCATTAAAG